AACAAATGCATAAATGTGCTTGACACAATGTATGTATGTCTGGATTGTGATAAGCATTGAATGAGCCCCAAATAAAATGATTTAAAAACAAACAAAAACAAATAAACATATAAGTTCAAAACAAAAAAAAGAAAGAATATTAAATCTCAGCATTACAGACTATCGCTCAGGAATAGACCTATTGGGCAGCTTGAGTGGTTATGAAAATTAGATGTCATCTGTTCATTTCCCCCAAACTGTGGACTTTCATGATTACTCAGTAATAAATGAACTTTTGTCTTTGCAAAAAAAAAAAAGGATAAGCTCCCCAAGTCAGAAAACACTCGAAATGTGACTGAGGAGATGCTGCTTTCTTAAATTAGAGTCCCCCAGACAACCGAAAAGTGGGTGAAGGGAGACATCGGACAGGGGAAGATATGAGAAAATACCCATTTATAAACTATCAAGGGCTCATGCGGGAGGGGGAAGTGGGGAGGGAGGGGAAAAATGAGGACCTAATATCGGGGGTTTAAATGGAGAGAAAATGTTTTGAGGAACGATGTACAAATGCGCTTTACACAATTGATGTGTGTATGGATTGGGATAACAGTTGTATGAGCCCCTAATAAAATGTTAAAAAAAAAAAATTAGAGTCCCCATGGTGAGATGAATGGAATGGAGTCTTCAGAATCTCCTTTTGCTGATGGGGCACAATTCTAGGTGAGAAGAAACAACTGTAGAACATCTAATAATCAGAACTTGGTGTATGAAGTATGAATCTAGGAAAATTGGAAGTCATCAAAAATGGAATGTAAAAGATCGATCTACTAGGTGTCAGTAAGCTGAAATGGACTGGTGTTCTGAATCAGAAACTCACGTGGCTGACTATGACACAATCAAGAGAAATGGTATTGCATCCCTAGACAAGAAGGACATTTCCAGATCTAGTACAATGAAGTGTGTGATAGGATTACATCTCTCTCTGTCTCAAGGAAGTCCAATCAAAACAATTATTGTTCAGATGGGTGCACCAAACACAAAAGCTAGTGATGAAATTTAAGAATTCTACCAATGTCTGAAATTGATCAAACGTGCAATCTAGATGCATGTGTAATTATTGGTGATTGGGTGGCAGAAGTTGGAAACAAAGAGGAAGGAACAGTAGTTGAAAAAGATAGTCTAGGTAATAGAAATGAAATTGAAGATCACATGATAGAATTTTGGAAGACCAATGACTTGTTCATAGCAGATACGTTTTTTTCAGCAACACAAAAGGTCACTATATACATGAACATCTCCAGACAGAACACAAAGATGTATTCTTGCATTGAAAGAATACTTACGTAGAGGCCCAGAGTCTGTCCATTGCTCAATGTATAGCCATATAAACATACGTATATAGGCCAATATCCCTACTGTTATGCATTAACATATTTACATCTATACTCCTCTATGTTTATACCTCTGACGAGAGCAACATAAGACTACCTTGAAAGACACAGAACTGCCTTGCAAGATGAGGAGTGACGAACACAGGAGACTCCATTGTGACAGAAAATAAAAGCCGTGCGGACCCAACAAAAATGCTGAATCACCGCAATGAAGGAAACAAGTAGACTAGAAACTGCCCCAGAAAGTCTGGGGAACCCCGATAAGACTCTGGGTGACGTCTGGCCTGCTGAACTGCCCATATAAACCCAGGTAGAGAGGCTGGAAATTCAGAGAGCTAGGAACCAAGGAGACATCAAGTCCAGCTCTCTCCAACTCTACCCAGGGTGAGTACACTGATGAAGGCACTATGATGCTGAATTAATTGTGTTACCCCTATAGTTAATAACGAGTTAATTTTAGAATTGTTAGATTGTTTGATGTGTGATTGAAGTGAATAAACCGAGCATTCGAAAATGTCAAAGAGCGTTAAGTAATTATTGATCGAGTTGCTCATGACAATCTTTATAAGATTTTAAATTTTCTTCTTTTTTTTAATATGATCCACACACCATACAATTCAATAGTTCAATCATATCAAGAAGAATTGTACAATCATTACCACAGTCAATTTTAGAATTTTCCCCCCTGTGGTTAAATGGCTTTTCAAATGAGTTGTGTAATCACAATCAGTTCTAGTGCTCCCTCCCCCCTCCCACAGGTTGTTGTTCCTGAAATCCCCTGAGGATCACTGTCTCCCACCCCCACCCCCCTGCCCTTACATCCCCAATAAACACTTGTATCAGTTATTATCTCCATGTATGTACTCCTTCTATGCTTCACAAACAGGAAAACCCAATAGAAACAAAAACAAAATAGGATAATAATACAAAGATACAAATATAAATAATAAGTAAGAAAGAAAAGACAACCATCAATATTTAAAAAGCCAGGAAAGAAATGTTTGCCTTAGAACAAGGAAGAAATACTTGCACTTAAAGCAAATTCAGGTCGGTCAAGAGGGAGGTAAACTGACCAAGTATCAAGTTTGATCCAGCATCATCAAAATTACAGTGATCGCTATCTGATAGTGAAGCTGTTGAGAACCTTGCCTGAGGCTCATCTAGTTCTTCTGGTCTCAGGGCCATGGAGACGGATGTTTCCGTGGTCCAGTGGTCCTTTAGACGAATTGTTTCATGTGTCTTTGATCACTCTTCTTTCCTCTGGATGGGAGAAACCAGTGGCTGCACTCTAGATGGCTGCCCACAAGCTCTTACAACCTTATTCGCTATGAGCCAAATAAAAAAGTAGAACATTGTCTTATAGACTGTGTTGTGCCAACAGAATGTGAATTATGCTACAATCGCAGTGTCCTCGACACTGTGATCCTGATCCTCCAGGCCTGCAGTTTATTCCCTCAGGCATTTGGGTTATAAAAGAAACATTCATAATTTCCCTCTAGTATGCTCCACTAAATCCATGGGTATATTTACAGCAGAGGTCAAACTCAAACTCACTACCATTGAGGAGTTTCTAGAATAAGGTAGTACTGTGTTTCGAGGGCGAGGGAACTGTTTTGTGTGTGTGTGTGTGTGTGTGTGTGTTTTGAGGTGAGGGAACTGTCTTTTTATTTCAAAACTTACAAGCTTACAGAATTTCCAGGGCTGGAAAGAAATTTAAATGTCATTTAATACCTTTATTTGTTTATTTTGCAGGTGGAAAATCAGTCTTCAACCTGGAGGGGAAGTGTGAGCCTCTGATGTCCTCTCTGTACATTGTGGTGTCTCACTTAGACCCCCGGACTCTGATTCCATTCCTCACACTATCCTACCTCCCTCAACAGGAGGGTGAGCAAGAAAGAAGAACCTTTTCCCCCCCTTTTAAAAATCATTTTATTAGGGGCTCATACAATGCTTACCACAATCCATACATACATCAATTGTGTCCAGCACATTCACACATATGTTGCCATCATCATTCTCAAAACACTTGTTTTCTACTTGAGTTCTTGGCATCAACTCATTTTTTCCCCTCCCTCCCCGCTCCCCCCTCGCCTCTTGATAATTTATAAATTATTATTTTGTCATATCTCACACCATCCAACGTCTCCCTCACCCACTTCTCCGCTGTCCATCCCCAGGGGAGGAGGTTATATGTAGACCTTTTAATCTGTTTCCCCTTTCTCCCTCACCTTCCCTCCACCCTCCCTATATCGCCACACTCTCCACTGGTCCTGAGGGGTTCATCTGTCCTGGATTCCCTGTGTTTCCAGTTCCTATCTGTGCCAGTGAACCTCCTCCAGTCCAGCCGGATATGTAAGGTAGAATTGGGATCATGATAGTAGGGGGGGGGGAGAGGGGGTAGCATTCAAGAACTAGAGGGAAATTGTATATTTCATCCCTGATAAGATTGACTGACTGGCTGAAAACATGGGCTCGAATAAATAAACATACTGATATGACACTGAACTCGGCACAGAGCGTGCTGTGAGTGGGAGCGAACTTAATGGGACTGAACAGCCGCAGCAGCACTCACAGCCTTGCTCTGAATTCTAAGCCTGCCATGAAGAAGTCTTTTGTAAGGAGAGACCTTTGGCAGAAATGACTACCCAGTTCGGAGCCATTCACTCTTCCACAAAGACTTACTGCGGAACAACACAAACCTCTGTAGTTTACATCGTTAGTGGGGGAGGGAGAGCCCCAAACCCACTACCAATGAACACATTCCCACTCTAGCGACCTTACATAGGATTTCCGAGGCTGTAAATTTTAAGGGGAGAAGTAGTTTCAACTTCTATTGCAGAGGCTGGTGGGTTTGAGGCACCAATCTTGAAGGTTAGCAGCATAACTGACAGCGCCACCAAAGGACGGAAGCCAGTAAAAGTGATCTAAACAGTATAAATTCAGACAGGGGGAAGGAAATAAAACAGAGTAGTTAGTTGGGGCGGGGAGTGGGGATTTAAGTGGTGTGGTCTTTTTTCACAGTAATCCTTATAGGCTAGGGACATACCCTGTTTTGCTGATTATAAAACTGACGCTCAGAAGTGAGGTCCCAAACTCCTAACCCCCACTTCCTACCAGCCCCGAGTAAGCAGCCGCTGCCTGGGATGATGAAACTCCGGACCACAACTGCACCATCTAGCAGGCCGCGTCCTTGCAGGTGTGGAAGGGGTAAGGTTGCGCCCCCAGGAGAAAGGAATCGTCTAATTTCGTTGCAGGGGCTGCGATGGACAGGCTCTGCCCAGCCCCTCCTGCTCTCTCCATCTCTGCAGACAAGACAAAGAGCCGCCCCACGCACCTCTGGGATAGACGGATTGCTCCCTCCTCCACCTTGGCCTCGGTCCGGCCTCCTACCGAGCCTCCAGCCCCGCCTCCGGCCCGGCCCCCTGCCGGGTCCCGCCCGGCCCCAGTCCGGCTCGCGCGGTGCTCTATGGGAGTTGTAGTTTTCTAGCGCTTCGTACAGGCTTGGAGAACGACCGAGGAACTACAAGGCCCAGCGGCCACTGCGCAGGTCCCGGGCTGACTCGCCGGCAGTGGGTGTGTCGGCGCAGGGGCCGGGCGGGCCGGGAGCCGTGATGCGGCTGCAGGCGTTGGAGTGTGGGAGCTACTGCGGGCGCGCGCGGTAGCTGAGGTGCGGCGTGGGGCTGCCAGGCCGCGCCAGGCAGGTTGCTTGCAGGTATCGGGCTTCCTTGGGAATCCTGACTGGCCGGCCGCCCAGCCACATCTTGCGCGGTGCAGGGTCCCCGTCGCCGGTAGAAGGGCACCAGTCCCGGAGCCAGGCTGGCACAGCTTTTTGAAAGAGCCCTGAGCCGGGCTTGGGGAGGACCGGGTGCTCGGCGCGGCTGTGCGCGACGTGTTCTTTCTTTCTGTGCCAAGGTTTCCCTGGGCAAGTGACAGGATGCAGCACGCGGCGGCGCTGGCTCGGCGGGGCTGCAGGCTCCGGACTCCGGGCTCCTGGAGCCGAAGTCAGAGCAGCGTAGCCGTGGAGGCCTCGGCGATGCTCAAGGTGCGGCCCGAGCGGAGCCCGCGCGAGCGCATCCTCACGCTCGAGTCCATGAACCCGCAGGTGAAGGCTGTGGAGTACGCGGTGCGGGGACCCATCGTGCTCAAGGCCGGAGAGATCGAACTGGAATTGCAGCGGGTGAGCGCTGGGGCCTGGAGAGCCGGGGAGCCTAGGGGAAGGAGCGACGTGGCTCTCCACGGGGGGTCGACCACCGCCCTAACCCAGCCCCAAGGTGCGCCTTCATTCCGCAAGACTTGCCTAAAACAAAAGGGCACTCACCTCCCTGCCCCCGCTAGTGCCCGGGACCTGGCAAGAAGCTTACTTGAGCCGTCAAATAAGGCTCTCTTGTTGAATTGAATTAATCAGTTATAAATTGAGTGGCCCATGGTGACAGGCACTGTGTGTTAGTTGGCTGCCCTGACCACCTGGGACCAAGATCCCTAAGGGGGAAAAAAACAGGAATTCAGTTAAAAAAAACCCAACAAAACAACAAAAAAGAAAAGAGTTGCGGGTGGTGAATTAATGCTTCTTAAATCGAGGAGGAGGGGTGGGGCCCTGAGGAACGTTAGGTTTATTCTGGAAGAGTTCTCTCCCTCTCAGGCCCTTTGCCAGAAATGCTTCCCTGACAGGAGTGGGAGGTGGGGCTGGGGTGGGGGCGGGCAGGGCAGGGGAAGAGCTGGGGAAGGGGTATGGAAGAGCTGCTTGCAAGCCTGTGGGGACCCTCACTGTGCAGTTGCCTAGCCACAGCTTGTTCTCCCACCCTGAGGACAGTGTCTAGTCAAAGGCTTGGGTTTTTGAGGTCTTGGTAAGGCGGCCCCAGGACCGTCTTCATTTTAGGGGCTGCCTGGGTGGGGTCTTGACTGGAGTATATAGCTGTGTATACAGTAACCACAGACACACACCCAGGAGAGACTTCTGTATCCCGACAATTTGGGTGGCAACAATGGGTGTAAGGGATGGACACTCAGAATTCTTATCTGGGTGGAATTTAGGTGTGTGGGGGGGAAAGCCAGTCTTATTTCCTTCAGTGCTAGTTTCCCACATTTAGGAGGCACAGTCAAGAGGAGTTATCTATAAAAATAAGCAAGATTTGCAAGATACTGATCAACCAATTTCCTAGCTGCTTGTTCAACATAATTCTGACTTAGAATAAGGAGGTGAGGTGTTCCTTGTACTCTCAGAGAAACTAGACCCCCAGGGACATGGTCTCTTAGAGTCCCTTGAAGGCCTGGTCTGAAGCCATGGCGAAAGCTTGCCTCCCCGCCCCTCCCCTTCCCCCAAGACATTGAGGGTGTGATAAAGTCATGGCCTGTTGATAGCGCATTGGGACACTCAGTTCTGCTGACTCCAAACAGTAAACTGGACAAGTCAGAGTCCGATGTCTCCTGCTGACTCCTTGCAGGGCTAAGTTTAAAGATTGGCCCAGGAAAGAAGCCTGCTTCCGTTTCTGTACTTCTCTGGCCTAGAGGTGGACCAGGGCAGGGACAATTTTCTCTTTTCTTCCTTGTTGACACCTGGCAAGCTGGAGCTGGTCCTGGTGAAAGTAAGGTCCCCCTTTGAAAGCTAGGACTAAATTGCTCTTGCTTTATCACGTTATAGATGATAGCTCCCGTTCCAGGGCTGGCAGATTTCCAGGGATTATCCAGCCTTTTGCTAACTGACACTTCTGTTCAGGACTGTCTTTGACTTGAACTAACTGTTATATAAGTAACTAATTACAGGCCTGAGTCCCCGACCCTGATCCTTCCTTTCTGGTGTGTTTTGCTGGGAAATGAAGACCTAAGACAGAGTTTCTTGGGATGTCTTTTGACGATAGGGAAACTTCTAGGTCCTTTGGGGCAGAGGCACCTGTGATTTCTGAGACATTCCCATGTTCCACCCCTGAGTTAGTCTAGAATTTATTTCTGTCCACCTGCATTCTCTGGTGCAGAGTTAGCCAGTGCTGCTGTAACAAATACCATAAGTGGATGGCTTTAACAAACAAATTTATTCTGTCATAGTTTAGGTGTCTGAATTCAGATTGCCAGCTGAGGGGAAGGTGTCCTCCCTCTCATGCTCTGGAGGAAGATCTTTGTCTCTTTTCAACATCTGGGGACTCTGTGTTCCTTGGAGAGTGTCAATTGTCATCTGGCCTAGGAGGTTCTCAGTGCCGGGACCCTGGATCTAAAGGACACACACTACTGTAGTCTCTTCTTTCTTGGGGTAGTCAGACCCCTCCCTGCTTATTTTTCTGACCTCTTATCTCTTCCAAGATAAAAGATGATGAAGGCTACACTCCGGGAAACTCACCTTTCATTGAGCTTATTACATCCCACCCTAATCCCCTTATAAGAGATTCAGTCACATCATGGCGGGATGATTGCATTTTTACACAATTGCTAAATTGCATCATTACACAGCTGCCAAACCACTGAGAATCATAATGGCTCAGCCAAGTTGACAAATATTTTTAAGGTACGTAATTCAGTCCATGGAAGAGGCTTTCATTTAGAACTTGTCTCATCTTATTCGTACTCCGTGGAGTCTCCTTTTCTCAGCTCTAGGCACTGGCCCATCTACTGGTTGTTGAGTTGCACCTCATGGCAATCCCATGTGTCTGAGAGAAGAACTTTGCTCCACAGGGTTTTCCTTGGCTAATTTTTCTGAAATAGGTCACCGGGCCTTTCTTCAGATATGTCTCTGGTAGCCTTGAACCTCCAGCCTTTCGGTTAACAGCCAAGTATGGTAACTATTTGTACCTTGAATCCTTTCCTTCCCAAGGACATAGCTCCTCTCCACTTGGCTGGTTTAAACACTGCCTTTTCTGATAAAGCCATATTTCTGCTCACCCCACCTCTCTATTTTTAGGGGAGTTCTTGGCTTGGCACAATTTCAGTTTTTTAATCTTTGTATTAAATTGCTGTGATCAGAACTTGACTGATAGACTTGTTTCATTAGAGGATGACTTGAGGCGAATCTCATATCTTCTCTGAGCCTCAGTTTCTCCAGTCCATAAAATGAGAGAAATGGCCTGGCTGGTCTCAGAGATCCCTACTTGCTCTGAGTTTTTGTGCCTTCTTGTCTGTCCAAGGGTGTCTTGGGGCTCAGGTCGTGCCCCCTGGTGGCGTCAGGACCTTTGTGCTGCTGGATGGATTCCTCTGCAAATAGTTTGGTTGGATACACCGGTTTTTTGTGTTTGACTTTGGAATGGCTGGCCAGCCACTTCCTTTCCTTTTGTCTCTGGAGAAGGGAGGTGGGGAGGTGGGCTCAGTGAGTGTTAACAACGAACTCCCTTCTCCCTGATAGCAGCTCCAAGCGGGGAACCTATCCTAGCTTTTCAGATCCTGGTCTTGGGTGTTCATTGGGAGCAGCACTTAAAATAAGCTGCCATTAGTAGGAGCTTTGAAAAGATCTGTCAGCTCTTTCTCTTGCTTTATTGGGGAGGGTAAAGTGGTGGGTGGACAGAGTAGGCACAATTGGGGGGCGGGGAACGGCTTTATTTTGCCAGTTGTAAAAGTAAACATAGAGCCAAACACCCAGAACAGGGGCCGCTGCTGTCATCTGTGTGTGCTGCATTCAAACACTGGTAAAGATGGGATGGCATGACAGCACAGGAGTGTAGTTAGCTAAGAACTAAGACGAGAACCTCTGCATACGTACACCAAGTGCAATCTCGTTGATCATTTCCTGTAGTTTAGATGCTACTTTAAAATACATTTATTAACCGATTACATGGAACTGTGTGTGACCTCCTCCCTGGGGGACAGACAACCGAAAAGTGGGTGAAGGGAGACGTCGGACAGGGCAAGATATGACAAAATACCCATTTATAAACTATCAAGGGGTCATGAGGGAGGGGGGAGCGGGGAGGGAGGGGAAAAATGAGGACCTAATGTCGGGGGTTTAAGTGGAGAGAAAATGTTTTGAGAAACAATGTACAAATGCACTTTATACAATTGATGTGTGTATGGATTGCGATAACAGTTGTATGAGCCCCTAATAAAATGTTAAAAAAATAAAAAATAAAATAAAATACATTTATTATGTAGGCTTCTTGTGGGAAGAAAGAAGCTCTGATGCATGGTGGGTTAAGTGAGAGGCTGCTAACTGCAACCCACCAGCCAGTTCCTGGAAGAACGATTAGGCTGTCTGCTTTTGTAAAGATTGACAATCTCGGAAACCCAAAGGAGCAGTTCTAGTCCATCCTGTAGGGTTGCTTTGAGTCAGAATCGACTCAGAGGCAGTGAGAAGAACCCGCCCTGCCCAGGTCACCATAATCTTGCCTCCTGGGTTCTACTCTGCATGCTCTGGGCTTCAGACAGTCATTCAAATCACTCTGTCCTCAGTTTACTCTTCTACAAAGTGGGGCCAATTTATTTCTCTCAAGGTTGATTTGAGATATTAGTAGTAAGACTTTGAATAGCTAGAAGCCAATTTGAACTCTAAAGAATCTTTGTTCTCAAGCTAAGAAACCTGATGATGTGGATATGCTAAGGGTCCCACTTTGTTTTCCCTTCTGGTGAAGTTGGCTTTCATCTGTGCTCTTTGGACTGGCTCTTTCCTTCCTAGGCCTCCGTCTTTCTGTCCGGAATGGCCCTGCTTAGACCTCATTCTGAGTTCATCCCTCTTCTGCCTCGGAAATGTAGACACTCTCAGTTATCCTGTGATTTCAGGGTCTCCACCCTCTCAGGATCTCTGCCCCCCTTCCCTGCACAGAACACTCAACCCTTGAGTTCCAACCTAACCTCTTTGTCATAGTTGTGTATTGCTGGGGCTCTGGTTTCATCCATGCTTTCTTTATCTTGCCCAATGCTGCTCTAGGCCAGAGCTGAGCTAAGCCTGGGTTTCCCCAGCTGAGACACATAGCTGTCTTCAGAGAATGCGGGGTTTAACCTGCGTCTGTATTCTAGAGCTCTCTGTGGGGCTTCTTACCTCCTGCATCACTTCCTTGGGTTCAGAGAGCCCATGGCCTTTTCATAAATGCTCTTGGAGCCAGTTGTATTCTCTCTCCCACACCTGCCGAACTCCCCACCATGCCCAATTCTTCTTCAGACTGGGTTCCTAAGGAAGGTGGCCTTGTCTGCCTTGTGCACTCTTATCCCTGGGGCATGAGTGATCAATGGGTGTTTGATGAATGAGAGGTTGGAACTAGCCACTCCTGCTCATGTGTCCCTGGGATGAGAAGAACTCTCCCTTACCAGAGGAAATGGGTACAGTTAGAGTCCTCCGTCTGTCCCCTAACCCTCATATGGTGATGCTGGAGCTGTGGACTGGGAAGGACAATAATAAGTCTATTTTCTTTCACCTCTGAAGGGGGCAGTGGTAGTACAGTGGAAGAATTCTCCCTGTGGAAGACTTGATTTCAATTCCCTACCAGTGCTCCTCATAGGCAGTCGCCACTGTGTCAGTGGAGGCTTTTGTTGCTGTAACGCCCGGCAGGTTTCAGCAGAGCTTCCAGACCAAGATAGATTAGGTTTGGTGGTCTGTTCTTGAAAAACAGCCAATGAAAACTTTTCTGGCCGATCTATAACTGGTCATGAGAATGAAGCAGGCTGGGCCAGTTTTTGTTCCATTATGCAAGGGGTCACCAGAGTCAGTGGCAGCTAACAACAGTAACAACAGCATCCTGGGAAATATGTCATTCCCTGAGTATGGGCGCCTACTCTCCTCCCCCATCCCTACCTGGGCTGGAGTGGTGGGAAGGGAGCCTTCCGTAAGTAAGGCCTTCCTTTGCTCAGTGCTGCACAGGGAAGCAGCTCTGGGTGCATTAAACGGGTGGTCTCTAGGACGCTGTGACAGAAACCTGGGTGCCACATGCTTGTTGGTCCCCCTGACCAGGCAGAGCCCAGGCACAGGGTTGAGGTGAGGTCAGACCTGGATGAGTTACCATGGGTCGCCTGCTCTGGACCCTTGGTATTTCCCAGCCTATGTGTGGACCTTGAGTTACCAGATAACAGGAGGCAACCTAGAGTAGACTTTGTTGATGGTCCTTGGCTGGTTAACCTGGTCCCCTTGCTGTTTTTCTATTCTCCGGAGCCAATTTCCCACCCTTCACTCATCTATCATAGCAAAGTGTCTGCAGGTGCCAAAACTCAAGAAAATAGATGCTCAGTTTTTCCAGGCTCCCTATGGACATGCTCTGAATCAATTGAATGGTGCAGGGGGAGGACCTAGGGAAGGAAGGTCCAGGCCTTTGTTCCTGTTCTATCCTCACCCTGACTTTGGCTGCCTGGCCCTTGAGTCTGTGACAGATTTATTCCTTGCTGAAGAAGGGGCTGTGTCCATGGAAATCACCTGCATTCAGCTGGCCGGGCTAGGGCGCTGCATTGAGTCAGTAGTGCTGACAAAAGGGGCCCAGTGCCAGGGGGTGGTTCTGGCCTGCCCCTTTGCATGCTGGCACCAGGACAACTACCCCTGCTCCCAGGCATCTTGGCTCTTGCCTGCAGAATGAACCAGAAGACCACACACTTGCAGCCTGTGTCTCTCTGGGGCAAAGGCCTGGTGCAGTGGGCTGTACCTTTCACCCTGGCTTTCCAGGCTTGGACCCCCTGCTTCCCGGCGCCCCTAGAAATCTCCTCATGTTGACCAGCCTTGAAGAACTTGATAGAAGGTGTACAAAAATTGAAAAGATCCTTTTTTCCCTTCAAAATGTCTACATGGCAGGAGCTTATAAGCTGGAAGCTTCTATTTGAAGCCAGAAGTCCTGGCTAGGAGACTTGCTTTGCAGTCAGTCGCCTTCATCCATCAAGCCGCCTGGTTCTCACTTAGCTGTAGGATGCTGGTTTTAAAGACATGGACAAAGTTGATTTCATTCACATACTATGTGAGCTGGAGAGAAAATAACTGTCCAAACCATAGAATTATGTTTTTTAAAATGTGTATTTGGGGAGATGGGGAGGTGACCTGGACCTCCCACCAGTGCACCCCTTAGCTCTGTCACCTCTTGCCCCACCCCCTCTTCTTCCACCATGACCACCTTAACTTTGTTTTTTGCCTGGATTTGTAAGATGGTGTAAGTTTCACACTGTTTGTCTCAGATAATCCCTCCAGTCACCCAAGAGGTCCCTGGACCTGCTGCTAACATGTGGCTAATTGGGGGTTGGGAGAAATGTCCAGATCCCACCAGCCTTTGCTGTGGAACCCCAACACGCAACACACACACCCCCTGCAGGGCTGGGGCATCCTTCCCTCACCTCTCCAGTGGTGGTGCAAAGGTCCCAAGTTCCTCTTCCAGTGTGACCCCTTTTCTGAGCAAAACACCTTGCTCAAGCCCTGGCCTCAATTTAGATCTTCAATCAGTCCTTTCATCCCTGGTGCTTTTTTTTTTTTTTTTTAATGCAAAAATCAGCCCAAATTCTTCTTTCTCCATAGCCAGAGTTACAAAGGGACAGCCTAAGAGCTCCCTGCCATCAGATCTGTGTGTCCTGGGCGTGAGGGTGTCCACAGAAGTGGCCTCCAGTCCCTAGCCAGTTATTTGTGCTGTTGAGGTAGAAGTCTGCTGGGGAGCCAGGTGCAGAAGGGTTGCACGACTCTCTCACTGATGTTTGGCCTGATCTCTTGCTGACCCCTGTCCCCTTCCTGTTATATTAATGCACAAGCCTGCTCTTAGACATAGCTGAGATAACAGGGTAGTTCAGCTTGCACCTGCAGCTGCCTGAGGTGAGATATGTTGCAGCCCAGAAATGCACCTCCAGCCTTTCTGGGAAGGAGAAGTGGTGGAGCACAGTGATGGTCGGAGATCTGGCTCTGAAGTACTTCTCAGTTATGTCATCTTGGGCAAGATTCTTAATCTTTGGAGCCTGAATTTACTCGTCTGTAAAATGGGATTCATAACAGTTCTTCCTCCTGGGGTGGTTGTGAACATTAAATGGGACCAGGCATTTCAAGCGCTTGGCACAGTTTCTAACACCTGGTCAAGCTCAAAATAGCGATGTTTATTAATAAGCACCCCAAGGGAGCACTGCTTGGCTACTGGAATCCAGGGTCTGAATATCTCTCAGTAACCACCTGTTCCCTTCTCTCTGCTCAGGGTATCAAAAAACCATTTACTGAGGTCATCCGTGCCAACATCGGGGATGCCCATGCCATGGGCCAGCAGCCAATCACCTTCCTCCGACAGGTGAGCTGGGAACAAAGGAAAGGGGGAACCAGATACTGGGCAGGGCCAGCGTGGGTTTACAGGGTCAGCCAGCTCCTCTCACTTCTGCTGTGCTGCTGCCATCCAGCCTTCTTGGTCCACAGCAAACAGTCCAGTCCAGGAGAAAGCAGTCTCAAATAGCACTGTCTCAATTTTCTCTAAGGTCATCTAAAATCTCTAAACCCATTTTGGGGTTGGTGTGCTATATGAGGTTCCCAAGGATCTTCGCCATGGTTTATGATCCTGAACACTGAGCTCAGAGCCAATCAGCAAGGGCATGGGGTAGACCAGTATGGAGAGAGCATGAGGCCCCATGGGCTGAGTGCTGTGGCCAGGTTTGAGTGTTGACAGTGCGTATGTAGCTCGGCAGCTACACATCGGCCTTTCTCCTGACAAGACTCAGTTTGATCTTGAAAGCCCCTGGAGGCGGGTCTCATTGTCTCCATTCGAACAGGAGCCCCTCCTCTCCCCCCGGCCCCCAGTTGGGGTTGCTGACTGGAGAGAACAATAGGCAAGGCGGGAATATGCCACCTGGCAGCCTAACTGAGGCTGCAGAAACCTTGTTCCTAGGGGAGAACTGGGGCCCTCTTTGAAGCAATATATACCTGGGCAGACAGGGTCGATGCAAGCTGAGTACCCCAAGACCCTTTTCCTGGTCATATCTCCTATTCCAGGGGCTTGAACAAAGGAGGTGCTGCCCTGCCCTCTCTCCTAGGATAGGGAGCTCCCCCATGCTGAGGAGGGGACAGGGCTGAGATGCCTCTGCAAGCCGTGCCTCTGCCTGTTTACACAGGCAATGAGGCTCGAACCAGGTGTGTCCACCATGCTTGCTCCCCTCCGCCCTCCTCCCTCCCTCCCGTAGCCACTGCTCGAGACCTCGAGCGCTACAAAAATCAAGTCCCCCAAGCTGGGCCCAGAATGAGGAAATGGATCCAACCAAACAGGGAAGAGAAAAACCTGACTAATACCCTCTGCCAGGGACGTGGAGTGGGCGCGTGTCAGGGGGCCCACTCCCAACTGTACGCTTGTAGCCTCTGGGGAGATAACCCTACGGGTCCTCCCTGCACAAAGCACGGGCAGACCCTGCTGCCTCGGCTTCTGGCTGACTGGCCCACCTTATAAATTCAGCCCCAGGAGCCCAGTGGTGCTGGGTTCCCAGCCTGGCTTCCCAGGCATTCTACACCTCCTCTGATCTCCACGGTGCAGATGTAGATGAGCCAGTATCCACCTGAAGCCTCCCGCCTCAAGCAAGAGCACTGAACCCAACCCTGCTGCTGTGCCAGCTTCGCCTTGGCTCCTGAGCAGGGTCCATGATACCTTTACACACATTTCTTGCTTCATCTTCTTGATTTGTGGGGTAAAGGGAAGCTGGCCCAGTTTAGGGTTCTGGCAAGGGAGAAGGTTAGGAGGAAGAGTCCAGGAAAGGAGTGGAAAGTAGAGCAGGCTGAAAGGAGGGGTCTGTGCAGTCCAGCTCCTGCTAGTTGGGGTCTCCCCACCCCTCAGTGTGGAGCTCTGCTTGGGAAACCCCTGGTTCCTGTGCTGTGTGAGCCCGCTGTCCTTTATGGAGGAGCCGGGGTGGGGAGCTGATACACAGCCTGCTGCGTTCTATGACTGTTTTTGTCAGCTCACCCATGGCCCCAAACCCTGATGTCTCCCATCCCTTGGCATCTCCCCATATCCTCCCCTTCCTCATGCGCCTCCAGGCTGAGCCCTGGTATCTGCTGTGTCCCACCTGGTGCTCCCTCCTAGAGTCCAGCCCGAGCCTCTGTTCCCCCAGGTGATGGCACTCTGCACCTACCCTAACCTGTTGGACAGCCCCAGCTTCCCAGAAGATGCTAAGAAACGCGCCCGGAGGATCCTACAGGCTTGTGGTGGGAACAGCCTGGGTGAGGCTTCAGTTTGCCCTGTCCCAGAGGGCATGAACGGCTGGATGAAGGGTGGTGGCTGTGCACCCACGAATGTGTGTGTGTGTGTGTGTGTGTGTGTGTGTCCGGTTGTGTGCAGAAGGAATGCAAAGTGGTGCTTTCCACTGGGCCTTAGTCGGCCTCTGGTTTGCTGAGCTGAAGAAGTCAAGACAGCTGTCCATGGACTGAGGCACTGCAAGTTTATTTCAAGGCCAGATTGGGTTTGGGCCAAGAACCAGTTTCAACAGAGGAACTTTCCCTCCAGTTTAGAAGGGTTAGCCGGTTTCTGGCCTCAGCAGCCGAAATGGGAAGGAAGCAAAGGGCACACAGAGGGTGCACACCAACAGGCCCTCTCTGAGGGGTAGTGGACAACTTAGGGAGGGGGAAACACCTGAGTTCCTGATGGCTTTCCCTCCCTCCCTCTTGTTAAAAATGTAGAATGGAGTTCAAATTTCACCAGGGATGAAAGTTTTAACATATATATACTGTTGATTTTTAAATCGTGGTAAATATGTATCTCAAGCATTTGACATTTCAGTAATGTTCACATGTACACAGTTCGGTGACATTACTTAGGTTCATCGTGTGCTTCAGCCATCACTCATACTCATTCCCAAGTTATACCGTCACCCTTCACAGAAGCTCCCTTCTCAAGGCTCCCTCCAGCCTGGCCACCAGTCTCACTGTTTCTCTGGGTTCCCATTGCCTTCTACTTAGCCCAGCATGCCTCCTTACCCAGCATGCCAAGCACCGGAGTGCTCCTAGGAGGGGGCCCAGGAATTTGACTCTGCAGCCATGAAAATAACTATCCCCATCCCTGCTGAGATTTCAAGCCTCTGAGCTGCTGGCTTTTTGTTCCCATTTCATTTTCTTTCATATGTGTATGTTCGCCCATTCCTTCATTCAGCACCTTCACAGGGAATCCAGTTCCCGCAGTCCAGAGGGAACTATTTGTTCTTAAACGCTTTTTTAGGATGTGTGCCCGAATGTTCTGGAAGGGACGAATGTTCTGGAAGGGACGACTGTGGCTTGCTCAGTAGTGGCTCTGCTTTTCCTTCCAGTTCCCTGGGTCTTCTACCAGTACTCCCTTTTTTTCGACTGTGCTCTGTATTGAATGTTCTTCCTGGCTGCCAGCCCGTAGCCCTTTGTCCCTCCCAGCCTGGGCACTCTCCCCGGTGGCGCCCCTCTCAGGAAGGGACGGGCCTGAGTGGCACGTGGGTGGAGGCCTAAACCACAAACAGGCAGTCAGCAGCCCCCACACTGCCCTGAGGAAAAAGGTGCTTCTCAAAGACCTAGGCCTCAGGCCCAGACTCCTCCACGAGGCAGGGGTGGGTGAAGGAGCCTTCTGTGTGTCTGCTGTGAGTGTCTGGACTGGAAGACAGGCAGGGAGTCTCTGTTCCTCTGTGCTAGTCTTTGCAACTGTGCCAACCAGGCCTGGGGGTATGGATGGGAGGCCAGGCCTCTGTGAGTCCTCTCTTGGGATGTTTTAACAAGAGCACAGTTGGCATTTGAGGGGCGCCATACAGGTGAGGTAGTGCCCTCTGAGACTCCCCATCCATGACCTAGGAAGAATGGCAAGTGCCCAGGTGTGGACAAGCTCATCCTAGGGGTCACTCCAGGCCTTGTCCATGGCAGGGAGAGGGGCAGTGTGGTCCCCTTTCATGACAGCGGCACAGCAGTGATGCGCTCTGTGTGCTGAGCCAAATCAGTCTAGGTACCTGTCCACGGAAGTAAAAGGAAATGGGAAATGTTTGTCCGTGTTCCTCCGGGGCCACCTGGACCAGGTGGAGATTAACTGTGTGCACCTAGCCTTGAAGCTCACCCGGGGCCTTTTTATCATGACCTTAAAGATGATTTCTTCCTGGAGTTCCGTCCAGTTTCAGTGCACTGGATGAGTGCACTGGTGGTATCTCAGATCTTAGCTAGCATTGAAGCAAAACCTAACACATACCTGAGTGAGGAAGGACTGGTGTGCCCTGGCCCAGCCCCTCATTGAGCATACCGGGTACCAGACACCGAGGGACACTGGCAGTGAGGTGGTAGGGTTCTGTACTGCTGAACACCACAGTTGGATTTGGGGGAAACAGGCATTAAAAATGAATTCATAGAAACACAGAATCCCCAGTTTTAATGAGTGCTTTGGGATCGGTAGGAGTTCTGGTGGCGTAGTGGGTTGCATGTTGGGCTGCTAACCACGAGGTCAACAGTTCTAATGTACTTGCTATTCCAGGGGATAAAGATAAGCCTGTCTTCTCGCGTCAAGATGTACATCCTCACAGACTCTAGGGAACAGTTCTACTCTATCCTATAGGATTGCCACGAGTCAGAATTGACTTGATAACAGTTGGTTTGGTTTTGCTTTGCTTTGCGGGGTAAGTCAGAGAGCTGTGGGGTCATAACAAGGAATTGTAAGCAGAGGGAGGGCATTCAAACTGGACCCTGGGGATGAGTAAGAGAACCTGCAAATGCCTGCCAAGCAAGGAGCAGCATGCGTAAAGCCCCCAGGGCTTGGGGCTGAATGTTACTGAGTTTAAGTGGGAGCCTGGGTGTGGCAGCAGGAGATGAGGCTGGGGAGTTGGGGAGTGGCAATGGTGCCAGTTTGTAGGCTCTGGGGAAGCTGACCTTCAGCTTCAAGGGCTTTTCTCAGGTTCTAAGCTGGGGTGGAGCCCAGCAGTGGGCTAGGTACTCGAGGAGAGAGAAAATAATGGTCCCCGCCCTCCAGGAATTTCCAGTCAAGTTGGGAGGCAGGGTTTCCTCCATATAAAATAACTGGTGAAATGATAGGTCAGGAAAGGAGTTGAAAGTAGGTGAATTCTTTAGGGCAGGCCCCCTGGGGCTGGACTCGTACTGGCCCTTGAACGTTCACATGTCTTGGCGCAAAAATAAACCTGGAGCTTCCTTAGAAGGTAGAGGGAGCTTGTCAATGGCCAGTCAAGAGCGCTTATAGAATTGAGGCAGGAAGGAGGAAAGGTCTGGCTGAGGCGGCATGGACAGGCCCACGAAGCACAAGAAGGTGGTTGAAAAAGGCAGAACAAACTAGGCAGAGGAAGAGTTCACAGTAAGGGAGCACAGATGTATCAAATAAGTTAACCAGGGGAGGGAAGATTCTCTAAGACTGACATTTGCCCCTCCCCCCCATTTCAAATTTATAAAACATTTTGGATGTACTCAAATACCCAAAGTTATGTAACAGGCGCCTTTGTGCCATCTAGATTGAATGCCCGTTAATGTCGGCCACTTGGCACCTTAGGTATTAATCTAGTCTCCTCATTTTGCAGCTGGTCAGACGCTGAGGCGGAGCCTGGTTAGTGCTCTTTTGGTTCAATGCCTCCTGGGTGTCAGGCCCTAGAGAAGAATCTAGAACTTTCCAGAGTCCCATTCTGCCTCCTGTTAATAGTCTTGCAGCAACCTTAGAAGAAGGCTGTTTTTCTTTAATACAGTGTAAAATTCAAAAGCTCTTAAGGAATCTATAGTGAAAAATCCTCCCATTTTGACTCTCAGTCTCCTGATTCATATCCCCCCAAATTTATCTCACCCGAGTGAGTCTACTAGAGAAATTTTGTGTAAGCGCTTTTCTAATTCTTTTTACATGTTTACATGACTTGAAAACAAAACAACCCCACCACTTTTTATCGGTTATTACAAACAATAAAATGCAAAATATTAACAAGCAGCTTGAATAATATATACAACCCATGTAACCACCCCCCAGAACAACATGCTGAACATTTCCCATACCCCAGAGGCTCCTTTGTACCCACTTGCAGTCAGTGCCTCTTCCCCTGCCCCTGCCTCTCAGGTAACCACTGTTCTTACTTCTAGCACCATTTATAAGGTTGGCCTGTTTTGAATTTCATTTCATGGTGTGGCCTGACTTCTCACCTCCAATAGTGAAAATTTGGAGGGTATTATTCGTTTCTAGGGCATTTAGAACACCAAGGCTTCATACTGAGAGAGACCCATTCCTCAAGCCCTTTGAAACCATGGGGGCAGGCAATGGTGATGTAGAGGCCTAGGGATCTCATCTGTAATATTGTTATAAACCATGTGTAAATCCTCAAGAGAGCAGACAACATGGGTGTTGGTTAGCAGCCAGGGCTTATAACAGTGATATGTAATAGGTACTCACAAAATATTGGTGGCTAAATAGATGGGTGGGTGAGTAGGTGGATGGATGAGCATATGGGTGAGTGGATGTGTGGATGAGTAGATTGGGTAGATGGATGGATGAGGTGGGTGGATGGGTTAGGAGATATGTAGCTATAACCCAGGTGGTTGATTAAACAGCGTGTCAATAGTGGAGCTGTGGGAGGTGGGCCCCACCTGAGATCTCCCCAGGTAATGATTTGGACACTCCAATTGTGGAGCCAGACATTCTGCCTCTAGTCACTATCTTGCTTGCTGTCTTTCAGGGGCTTACAGTGCTAGCCAGGGTGTCAACTGCATCCGTGAAGACGTGGCTGCCTACATCACCAGGAGAGATGGCGGCGTGCCTGCAGACCCTGATAATATTTACCTGACAACTGGAGCTAGCGACGGCATTTCCGTACGTGAGGGGATAGCTCAATGTTGTTCAGAGTTCACCCACACCAAGAACAACTTTGCACATTAGCCACCCAGCGGGGAGGCAGATCTGGGCAGAGGGTGTGGGTGCCCTGGAAGCCTGCAGTCCTTGCCTTTGAACCTACTGATACTGCAGCCTTGATTTCCTTCCAGAGCGTTTACCAGCAGGTTCAGCTGGAGAAGGGCTTTGGGGCACTCGTGTGTGCCCATCTGTCTGGTGGCATGGACTTGTGTCCTTCCTCTGCCAGGCACTATGCCAGGTGCTGGGGAACCTGGGAGCCAGCTTATACACTAGTGCTAGACAGGAATTCATATCAGGGAATCATAGTAGTCACATCACCGATGTTCAGTCTGTCTCCCACCCTGAAAAGAGGGCATTGTGCTGCAGGTGGGGGCAGCGGGACAGCAGGAACTGACACTGGGGTGGACACAATCTAGGAAGGCTTCTCCAAGGAATGCTGAGGGAGCTGGTGGAGGCGGAGACAGAGGGTGTTCTGGGCCGAAGGTCAGCACATGCACAGGCCTTGAGCTGGAGGGAGGCTGAGCGTTTGAAAAATGGGAGTAAAAACGAACGAACGAGCAGGCACAATGAGGACAGAGTTGGCACCAGTGGGGCTGGAAGGCAGTGGGGCCAAGTCCTGCAGGGCCTGAAGGCCACAAGAAAGATTTGGGTCATTGTCGAAAGAGTCACAGGGTGTCATTTAATGTTTTGAAGCAGGAAGGGGCATAATTAGATCCATATTGTAACTTTGCTAGGCAGGGACATAATGGATGCGAGGGACTGTTTATTAGGTGAGAGAAGAGGCGTGGGCTAGGTGGACAGAATGAACCAGGCCAGTTGTCAGCGAGTCACTGCCTGCTCATGGTGGCCTAGTGTGTGTCTGAGTAGACCTGTGCTCCAGTGGGTTTCAGTTGTTCAAAAGCAGATCACCAGGCCTTTGTTCTGAGGTGTCTCGGAACATTCCAGTTAGGAATCAGTTCACCATTCGTACCACCCAGACAGAACAAAGCAGGATTGCTCGCATCTGCAGCCCTGGGCTGGAGCAGGGACCTGTGGCCCCTCCATTCCTTTCAGCCACGCCTCTTCCAGTCTGCTCCATGCTCAGTGCGATCACCTCATGATTCTTCCTACCCAGATGCTGGCTGCCCCCGCCCCCTCCATTAATGGGGTAAATCTCTGTCTACTGACCTCCAAGGGCTGTAATTGCTTGTTTCAAATGCATTAAGCTCTCTGCCTCCCAATAGTCAAGTGGTCAGTCTCTTGTGGCACTTGGCATTCTAATGTTGGGGCTCCCACTCCTCAGCCCACCCCCACCCTCACCCTCCTCCATTGTGACCTGCTGTAGAGACGCCTCTTGATTCCCAGAAAAGTCTGGGTGTGGGTACAAGCCCCAGAGGAGGGCAGGAAAGTATCAACAAGGCTCATTGAAAAGAAACTAGTTTCTTGCCAGTTTCTGCCTAGAGCTTAGCCTGAGAAAGGAACTATGCATATGTGAGGTGGGGGCTCTCTCAGCAGAGGCCTAGACATATTAATTCGGTGAATTATAACCACCTCCACCAGTGCCCCACAGCATTCCCATCGCCTGGTTTCTCAGAAATCCTTCTTTACGCAAGGCCTACTCAACTTTAGAAACCGGTCAAATCGCCACCTGGTGGTAGTAGGTGGTAGTATTCAGTTTTTAATCTCACGGGGCACGTTTTCAACTTGGACATTGATATTTACTGAGGTTGCTGATTGCTGAGACACCAGGCCCAGACATGCTGGATGGGACTTCAGAATTAGGGTCAGAGTAATTCCAAGATGGGGGGCCAGTTTGAGGAGCTACTGCTTTATAAGAACCCCATAGGTCTCTTTAAAATTGCTAACACATGCCACTCAAGATGCTAAAAACTTTAACACATTTTATTCTTCACCAGCTGCCTCAGAGTTGATGCCCACGCCAGAGTAGACTGTGCTCCAGAGAATTTTCAGAGGTTGACCACTTCTGGGTGGGCTAAGCCGCCAGCCTTCCATTTAGCAGCAAAGAGGGTTAGTCATTTGCATTGCCCAGAGTCTTAGCAGACCCATTTACAAACGAGGAGAGTTACAAATGAGGGAGTTAAGCAACTTGCTCACTGGCAGCAGGCAGTGGGCTGCTGGTGAAGGGCTGTGGCTGGGGCCATCTGGCTTGTTTGCCCATCAACCCCCAAGGGCCAGGAAGAGGTGGAGTCTTGTAAATGTGACTCTGTCTTGCAGACGATCCTGAAGATCCTTGTCTCCGGGGGCGGCAAGTCCCGGACAGGCGTGCTGGTCCCCATCCCGCAGTACCCCCTCTACTCAGCTGTCATCTCCGAGCTCGATGCCATCCAGGTGAACTATTACCTAGATGAGGACAATTGCTGGGCCCTGAATGTGAACGAGCTCCGGCGTGCTGTGCGGGAGGCCAAAGAGCACTGTGACCCCAAGGTGCTCTGCATCATCAACCCCGGGAACCCCACAGGTAGGCAATGTACTGGACCACTGGACGCTTTCAGCCAAAGGGAATTTTCTCTGCTCTCCTTTCTGAATCAAATTCTATGTTTGCTAATTAAAGCCTTGAAATTTTCCATAGGCCATGTTAGGCGATGAGCAAACAGGGATTTTCTTGAGCAAGGTAGTATGATTAAGAATAGTTTGTTTTTCCTGTCTGTTTACATTTTTCAAGCATCCCCACCTTAAATTTGTTTAAGCACCAACCATTAATCCTTACCCAAACAATTCCCAGGCCTCATTTTCCCTTCTCTCCTACTTGTTTTTCATAACCAGTTTCCAGAATGCTAGGGTGTGTTTTTGTTTTTCTTTGACACAGGATTGTTACGTACCTTGAGGTCTGAGAAAAAAGTCATAGTAAGAAAAAAAGGGGGGGTGGAGAACTGTGTCCAGAAGTTCAAACCTGCCTCCCTCACTGACACACACACACATACACAATTCTGCATATTTTTCTTTAACCAAAGAGAAAAGAATACACAGTCTTGCCTGTTTCGATCATTCTGGGCTGCTGGCTTCACATTGCCCCAGCACTACTTGGATGAAGAGAACACAGCCTTCTCTCTCCTCTTTTGTTGAGATCATTGGGATACGGGCCAAAGCACGTTGGAGTTGATTGTAGAATCTGCTTCTCGGGAACATCAACTGGGGCTCCAATCAGCTGACAGCACCACTTGAATTCCTGAGTACAGAAAATGAGTGCAGCTGGCGTTCACGCTCGTTTACCCAACCCCTTGGGGGAGGAATAAGGAATCTAACCGTGTTGCAGTAGAAAACTGTCATGGTTGGGCTTTTTCACCCTGGCTGCACATTAAAGTTACCCTGGAAGGTTATCTAAGTCTCCAAGCCCAGGCCATACCCCAGAGTCAGTGGGGATGGGACACCAGCATCATATTCTGTACAGCTGAGGTTGAGAACCACTGCTCTAGAATCATGGTTGTAAAACTTTAATTTGTTAAAATAGCTTGCTTTATCATTGGTCCGGGATAGAGCTTCAGAATATGAAGCCAAATAGGTTGACAAGTAGGTGATAGTGAAACTCTTGTTACTGGTTCCAAGACTACATTTGGAGCAGCAAGTTCTAGCACATCTTAGGAAAGAGACCGTATAACTTGCTTAAAGTAGAAAAGTACTTTCTTGGCCAAGGGTTTACAGTGGTCTTTGCTTGCCTGTCTGGCAAAAAGTAACAGTATCAGAGATCTCCTTAAGTGCATATTAGTATAAGTAATTAGCTAGTTTTGTTCTCTGGGGTCTTAGGGATCATCTCTTCCTTGTGACCCTTCTGTGAGGGGATGTCCAGTTGTCTACACATGGGCTTTGGGTCTCCACTCCACACCCCTCCTCATTCACAAGAATATGATTTTTTGTTCTGGGTCTTTGATACCTGATCCCATCGACACCTCATGATCACACACGCTAGTGTGCTTCTTCCATGTGGGCTTTCTTGCTTCTCAGTTAGATGGCCGCTTGTTTATCTTCAAGCCTTTAAGGTCCCAGACATTATATCCTTTGATAGCCGGCACCATCAGCTTTCCTCAGCACATTTGCTTATGCACCCATTTTGTCTTTAGTGATCATGTCGGGAAACGCACTCTATTTCTTTTTTTAATTTTTTTTCTTATTTATTTATTTATTTTGATGTTTTATTGGGGGCTCATACAACTGTTATCCCAATCCATACACACATCAATTGTGTAAAGCGCATTTGTACATCGTTTCTCAAAACATTTTCTCTCCATTTAAACCCCCGACATTAGGTCCTCATTTTTCCCCTCCCTCCTCACTTGACAGTGATTGCAATCCTCACAATGTAACAAGCACTCTTTCTACTTCCTCCCTGTGTTTACTGTTTCCATTTCACTGCTTTTCCTTTCTTTCCTTGCCTGCTTTCTGAACACTATTAGCTTTCAAAGAGTTAACCAAGCTTGTTGCTTTCCCAGAGTACACCATGAGCACCTTGAGCATCCCAGGACCACATTCAAAGTAGCTCTCAGGAGATACTGGGAAAAGGCTCTTTGTCTACCTTGCTGCATCTGTCCTTTCCCACTGCTATCCATGGCATTTCCTATAAATCAGTGGACTGAAATCTCATTGTATTCATCTCTCTAAAACAGGTAGTGAGTGTTTCCACTGTGTGTGTTGATCAAACCCGGAAGGGGGGATAGAGTGTGTGAAGGTTAGGGGGTGCCCATTGATAGGAGGCTCTGCCAAAGTTGGGCTCAGGCTCATTTATTTTGTAGCTATTCTGCAAATAGTGGTTGAGCCCCTGCTGTGTGTGCTGACTTTGAGGGGAGTAAATGATCTACTGTGAGCCTGGTTTTGGCCTCATGGTGCTGTGTCTGCCTCGTGAGTAGTAAAATACGGTCTTTTCACCCAGTGCCTATCAGCTGTCATAGTTTTTCTATTGTTTACTCCCTGCGTGTTATTGGCCTATTCCTTAAACCATTTCCATGTCCTCTTGCCCTCCAGGGTAGTTGTGCGCGCACGCACACACACACACACACACACACACACACACACACACACGCTCCTCTGTTGAGAATAACAAGAAACTTGGATGTGAAAACACAACTTCTTCCACATAAACAGCTTAAGTGAGCTGATGAGATGGAGCCCACCTTTCAGGGACCCTGGCGTTGAGTACATTATAATACACAGTAACTAGGTTGGATGGTCTCTTAGGGCCTTGAGGGAACAGAGGACATCTGAGTAATTTTGGGTGGGATTCTGATCTGGGGACCAGGTTAAATGAGATTGTAGTCTAAATATTGGTTTTGTTGGGGACATTTTAGGTCAGGTGCAAAGCAGAAAGTGCATCGAAGACGTGATTCACTTTGCTTGGGAAGAGAAGCTCTTTCTCCTGGCTGATGAGGTAAGCGTGGCCACAGCCCTCCCCTCAGAGAAGGGTGGGGGGAGGTTTTTCGCTCTCAAGGGAAGGGCGTTCAGGCCTGCATTTTGTTCTGCATCCAGAAAGAACTTTCTAAATTTTGGATAAGAGACTGTGGCTTAAACTATCCCTATTTTGGTTTGGATTTACACATTTCAGAATCTTAACCCAAATCACTTTGCATGTCAAAAGAATGAACCCAAAGACTCAACCGACATCTTTGACATTTTCTCTCATTCCGTTCCTTTGCCTTGGTTTCACACCCGCAGTCTACTCTCATCCCAGCCTAGAAAGAACCAAGTGTTGGGATTCCAGCAAAAGTCACAGAGTTGAGCCTCATTGGTATAGCTTAGGTCACACACCATTGTGGAAACAATCACCGTAGCTGGTAGGATGCAGCATGCACATTGGCCAGGCCTAGAGCACGAAGCTCTAGGTTTTGTTGGGGACAAACCTAGAATTAGAAAACCAGAAGGAAGAGCGTGTTCAGCGTATCTTAAACTGCAAGAACTAAAGAATTCAAGCCTCAAGCTGCAATACTGAAAAATTCTTTGGCCAAAATATTGAACTACACAGGAATCTTCAAAAGAAGATAGAAAGAATACACAAAGCCACTGTACCAAAAAGAAATAGTTGACATCCAGCCATTTCAAGCGGTAGCATATGAGCAAGAACTAATGGTACCTAAAGAAGAAGTTCAAACTGCACTAAAGCTCTAGCCAAAAACAAGGTTCCAGAAATCAATGGCATACTCATCAAAATGTTTCAACAAGCTGATGAAGCACTGGAAGCACTCACTCATCTGTGCCAGGCAATGGAGAAGACAGCTACTTGGCCAACTGGAAGAGATCCATATTTGTACCCATTCTAAAGAAAAGTGGCCCAATAGAATGTGCAAATTATAGAACAATATCATTGATATCACATGCCAGTGAAATTATGCTGAAGATGGTTGCAATGTACTGCATTAGCAGTACATTGACAGGGAATTGCCAGAGGATTAGGCTAGATTCAGAAGAAGATGTGAAATAAGGGATATTATTCCTGACATCTCAGATGGATCTTAGCTGAAAGCAGAGGAGACCAGAAAGATGTAGACTTGTGGTTTTTGTTTTTTTTTTCACTTGCAAAATATGGATGGTATAGATGAGAACAAACTATGGATAGACTTGAGAAGAATGAAAATGTCAGAATACTCCATTGTGCTCATTCAAAACCTGTACATGGATTGAGACAGTTGTGAAAACAAAACAAAGGAATATTACATGGTTTTAAATCAGAAAAGATGTGTGTGCCAGGGTTGTATCCTCTCACCATACTTATTCAACCTGTATGCTGAGGAAATAATTAGAGAAGCTGGATTACATGAAGAAAAATGTGGCATCAGGATTGGAGGAAGGCTTATTAACAACCAACTATATACAGATGACACAACCTTGCTTGCGGAAAGTGAGGAGGAGTTGAAGCACTTGCTGATGGAAGATTAAGGGTTGCAGCCTTCAGTATGGCTTACAACTCACTGTAACCAATAACAAAATTCTCACACCTGGACCAATAGGTAACATCATGATAAATGGAGAAAAGGTTGTAGCTTTCAAGGATTTTGTCTTGCTTGGATTCACAATCAGTGCTCATGGAAGCAGCAGTCAAGAGAGCAAATGATGCCTTGCATTGGGTCAATCTACTACACAAGACCTCTTTGAAGTGTTGAAAAGCAAGGAGGTTACTTTGAGGACTGAGGTGCACCTGACCCAAGCAGTGGTGTTGTCAGTCGCCTCGTATGCTTGTGATAGTTGGACTTGGAGGAAAACCGAAGAAGAATCGGTGCATTTGAGTTATGGTGCTGGTGAAGAATGTTGAAAGTGCCATGAGCTGCCAAAAGAACAAACAAAGCTGTTTGGGAAGAAGTACAACCAGAATGGTTCTTAGAGGCAAAGATGGGGAGACTTCATCTTACGTACTTTGGACATGTTGTCAGGAGAGATCAGTCCCTGGAGAAGGGCATCATGTTTGGTAAATAGAGAGGTCATGGAAAAGAAGACCTCAACAAGATGGATTGGTAGACCCACTGATGTGCAGCAATGGGTCCAAACATAAGAACGATTATAAAGATGACGCAGGACTGGGTGTTGTTTAATTCTGCTTTATATAGGGTGCTTATGACTCAGAACCGACTAGATAGCATGTGACAACAACAACATAGAGTGGGTCTCTGCTGTGCCCTCCTGCATCTCCAGATGGAGAAGAAGGGAGGAGTTCCATCTGAGGGAAAACTCAGGACGCTTTCCCAGGAAGGGAGGCTGGGGGGGTGGGTCAGTGGACAGAGGGCACTCGCCCTCTACCAGCTGCAGTTATGGTCACTTAAGGCTTCCAGAACTGCCGTTCCACTTGATTCCCACCACAGCCTGTGGAGAGGAGGTCTGCTAAGATCGGCCCTTTTCACTGAACAGAAGCCAATCAATCCCCAAGGTTAATGAGCCCAGATGGAGAGCCAAGGCCTGCCCATGCTTTTCCTTTCCAACAACAACAACAACAAACTGAGGGCCAGTCAAATCTTGTATTCATCTCAGTTTTCTTTCTGCTTGAATATCTAGCTCACTCGCTTCATTTCTTTCTTCCTTAGCATCCCACCCCCAACAACTGTGCCCCTCCCTGCCCACATGAAAGGCTTATCCACCAAATAGTTGCCATAATTAGTAGCAGATGGGCTTTGAATTGTGACTTCTAAAGACAAGAAAGGGCAGCGAGTGAACCCTGGGTTTTCCAAGACCTCCCCTTCTCTTTGGGTCTGGGAAGCTGAGGAGGAGGCGGAAGAGAAGCAGGAGCGCGCTGGCTGGCCTTCTCACTGACCTGCACCCCCCAGAAAGCCTGGGTTCTCCTGCTCTTCAGCATAGGAGTGGGAAGTTCGTCTCAACAGGCAGTCTGTGGTGAGGGGGAGGGGGAGGCCCCGGCCCTACAGGAGAAGACTGATGTGGGCACCGCTCTGCATGTTTAGAACCTTGGGCAGGCGGGACCATCCGTGGAGTGTGGACAGCAAGTTAAAGTCTCCATGCTGGAACTCGTAAAGGAAATACAAAAGGGCTGCGAGGACCCCAGGGTGAGCTCTTCTAACAGGCAGGTCAGGGGATGGGGGAGATGGCTGTAAACTATGAATGTTAGTTAGAAGTAAACATTTGCTTTAGAAAGAAAGTTTGCTTGGGAAGATGGGAGTCCTTGATAATGTGCCGGTCTCAGTAGTAGAAAGGAAGTTTGGAAATTGGGTGGGGATGAATATAGGATGAAGCAGGTAAGCTCCTGGAGCTGTCTTAAGTTCAGCATTTAGCCAGAGACTGCCCCTCTTTGTTCTAGAAGATTCCTTTAGGCATATTCTAGCCTATCGGTGGTCTAGGCCCCTTGTACGCGCCCTCTGCTGGGGCCACCTGGACAGGTCTGGTGCCCTTGACTGCACTCCCGAGGCAGCAGCCTTTTGGAAAGACCTTGAGGTGACCTGACTGGCATGTCTTCCCTGCAGGTGTACCAAGACAACGTGTACTCTCCAGACTGCAGATTCCACTCCTTCAAGAAGGTGCTTTACGAGATGGGACCCGAGTATTCCGGCAACGTGGAGCTGGCCTCCTTCCACTCCACCTCCAAGGGCTACATGGGCGAGTATGTTGGCTACCCTCCTCCCTGTCACGGCCCTTTTCTGCCCTGGCGCCAGCCTAGTCTCCTTACGGCTGCTCCTTTGTCTGCCCTCTCATCGAGCCTCTTGGGCAGAAGAGAAGGCCACCTTTGCTTCTGCTGATCTAAGGAGTGGGAGAGGACAGGCTCTACCTCCCCAAGGGGGTGGCTGCATGTGTGAGAACATCCCTTGTCGGGGGTCCAGGTAAAATAAGGTCATTCTTGGAAGAAATCGGTCTACGGATGGATGAAAAACATGAAGCCACTTGCAACATTAGTTGGAAATGGCTTCGATGTCAGCCCTGTCACTCGAGGTGATGAACTGATGTTTGGTAGCCAGGACGGGCAGCTTGTGGACAAACAAGTGCCCCCAGGCCAATGGGTCAAACTCTGCAAAACCACCTTGGTACCGGGTGACCTCAGCAGCCAAGTCAACCTCAATCGTGTCCTCATTTATCTGGCAAATATTTATTAAGCACCTGCTCTCAGTACTAATCTTAGCACTGAGGATACAGCAGTGAATAAAATCGTATCATCCCTGCCTTTTGGGAGCTTACCGTATATATACTTGTGGATAAGCCGAGTTCTTCAGCACATTTTCAAAGCAGTTTTTGTGGTAAAATTAGGTGCCTCGGCTGATAATCAGGTCTGCTTATACTCTAGTATATGCGGTATGTTCCAGTGTGGAGAGAAGCACAGATGAGTCAGATGGAGGAAAAGAATCAGGGAGGAGGTGGGTCTAGGCTCAAATAATGCCCCCTCAACGACATTAATTTGGAGCTGAGACCGGATGGAGAAGTGGAGAGGAGAATCACCATGCAAAGTGGCTGATTGGGGTGCCTTTCACAGTCTATTGAGAGTGAGACAAATCACGTGCTGTGGTGGAAGGGAGAACAAGAGTGTTGATTAGTACGAGTACCTAGGAAGACAGAGTGGACCTGCTCCATCAACATCTGTTTCTTCGGTCAAGAGATGTTTATCAAGAGACAGGACTTAGGACTAGGGGTCTTCTGGAGCTTTGGCTATGAGATCGGCCCTGTGGTTCTCAGATAGTCCTCTTTGCTTAGAAGGTCATGCCCACATTCCAGCTGGGGGTATTGTTTACTGTCCTTCAGATGGCGATAAAGTAATTTTTACTTATACCAGGAAACAGCAACAGTTTGTAGTTCAGCATGAATTCTTTTTTTTAAATCATTTTATTGGGGGCTCATACAACTCTTAGCACAATCCATACATACATCCATGTGTCAAGCACATTTGTACATTTGTTGCCATCGTCATTCTCAAAACATTTGCTTTCTGCTTGAGCCCTTGTTTTGTTTCTTTTTTAACATTTTATTAGGGGCTCATACAACTGTTATCCCAATCCATACACACATCAATTGTGTAAAG